CTCTCTCTCTCTCTCTCTCTCTCTCTCTTTTGTGGTACCAGGGATCCAACTCAGGACCTTGTGCTTGCCAGGCAAGGACTTATTCCACTGAGCTCGCTCCCTGGCCCCTGAGCTATCTCCCCTGCCCCTTGATTCTCTTCTCTACCTCCAAAAAGTCAAACTTCTTGTTTCCTACAACTCCTTTATTTTACTCAATTATTTCTTACCAGCTTAGGTTTCTCATGTAACAGAAACCATGTTATATTAACTTTCTGTGCCTGGATTATTTTATTTAGCAACGTGATCTGAAGTTCCATCCATTTTCCTCCAACTAACATGATTTCATTCAAAAGAATGAAATATATATACTGAATATATTCTACCTCACCTGTTCATAGACATCTAGGCTTTCTATAGGGCTAAACCATTGTGAATTATGCTGCTGTAAACATGGGTATGCATGTATCAATATCACTGTAGTATGATGTTGTTATTTGCATAATACACCTGAGAGAGGTATAACTGGATTAAATGGAATTTCTATTTTTAGTGTTTTGAGGACTCTCCATACTGATTTCCACAGTGGACCGCACTATGCTAGATTCCCACCAACAATGCATTTGCTCTCACATCTTCACCACCATTTGTTGCTTCCTGTATTCCTGATGATAGCTATTCTGACTGGAGTAAGAGGGAATCTCAAAGTTATTTGCATTTGCTTCTTCCTAATGGATAAAGATGGTAAACACTTTCATGTAATTATTAGCCATTAGTATTTCGTCTTTTGAAAGTATTCATTTTAGTTGCTCATTTTTAAAATTGGGTCTTTTGGTTAGAGGAGATAATTTTTAGTTCTTTACAAATTTTAGGTAGTTAGTCTTCTGTCAGAAGAATAGCAGACAAAATGTTTTCCCATGCTGTAGGTTGTCTTTTCACATTTTGAATTATTTCTTTTGCTGTACAGAATCTTTTTAATTTGATATAATCCTTTGTTTTGGACTTTTATTTCTTGGAATTATTTTTTATGCTACAGCAGTATTCAAGAAGTTCTGCATGTTCTTGTGCCCTCAGGTGCTTCGCCTGTATTATCTTCCAGTAGTTTCAAAGTTTTGGTTTTTATATCTAGGTCTTTGATCTATTTTGATTTGATTTTAGTAGAGTACAAAAGATATTGATCTACTTCCAATCTGCCCATGAATTACCAGATTTCCCAGTATCATTTGTTAAAGAGGGTATCTTTTCTCAATTGTATGTTTTTTGCTCCTGTTGCAAAAAATCAGATGACTATCCATGCATTGGGCTTTTTTTGTGGCTTCTCTTCTATTCTTTTGTCTACATGTCTATTTTTGTTACTATAGTGTTTTGGTATAACTCAAAATTGGTATTGTGGTGCTTCCTGCTTTGTTCTTTTTAAAAAAATTTTTTCCAGGATTACCTTGGCAATTCTGGGTCTCTTCTAGTTCCACATGAATTTTAAGTTCTTCCATAGTTCTGAGAAGAATATTGTAGATATTTTATTTTATGTTTTGTAGTTTAGGGAAGAGTCTACAGGGTGTTCAGGGTCTCACTACTAGATTGGACTCATAGCGATCCACCTGTGTACAGCCTCCCAAGTGCTGGGATTACAGGCGTGTGTGACCACACCCAGTCTCAACTGCTATCTCAGCACACCCTGGGGGTAGGGCTGGCATGGCAGGCCCAGGGATCAAACCCCAGCCCCTCCGCCTGCTTGCAGGAACTTTAATCCACTGAGCTATTTAGCCAGCCCTGTTGTAAATATTTTAATAAAGATTACATTAAGTATGTAGATCATTTTGACAATAATGCCATGTTAACAATATTAAAGCTGCTTATTCAAGAACAAGGAATGTTTTCCACTTTCTAATGCCCTCTTCAGTCTGTACACTTGCTACATTTTCAAGTACTATATTAACCAGGAGTAGTGAGAATAAACACTCTTGTCTTGTTTCATTCATGACTTTAGAGGAAATGCTTTCAGGTTTTCCTCATTTAGTATGATGTTGGCTACATGACTTTTATTAGTTTGTGGTATGGTCCTTCTATACCTATTTTTGTCAGTTTTTTTTTTTTTAACCTTACAGGATTGTTGAGTTTTTCAAAGGTTTTCTCTAAATCTATTGAGATTATCAAGTTTTTTATTCTTTATTCAATTTATACAGTTTATTACATTTATTGAATTATATATGTTAAACCATCCTTGCATCCCTGGGTTGAAACCAACTTGGTCATAATGTATGATCTCCTCAATGAGTTGTCAAATTCTTTTTATAAGTGTCTTAATGAAGATTCCTGTATCTATGTTTAACAAAGATATTGACCCACACTTTTTATCTGATTTTGTTACCAGGGTAATGCTGTGTTTTTTAATGTTTTCATATATTTATTTGAGAGGCTGTTCATGTGGCTATTGAAAACATTACATGCTGTGACATGTAACGTTATTATGTCACTAACTCCCAAGATCACTCCTGGTATTTCTTGGTGGCAATATTTATTTCAGATCATCCATTGTATGACAATTGCTGTCTTTATAGAATGAGTTGGAAGTATGTCTTTCAATTGTGTGAAAATGTTTGAGGACTACTGTCATCATTCTCTAAATTTCTGGTAAAATTCAACCCTAAATCCATTTAGTCTTGGTCTTTGCTTTTGGCAGTTTTAGTTACTGCTTCAATTTTATTGCTCATTATTGTTCCATTAAATTTTTAAAAATATCTTATTGGATTTATATGTGTCTTAGAAGTCATTCATTTTTATAGATTCTGTGATATTTTTTGGAATGTAAATTTTCAAAATAATTCCTAATAATCTTCTGGATTTCAGTAATGTCAGGTGTAATGATGCTTTTATCACTTATAATTTTATTGATGTGGGTCTCTTCTCTCCTTCTTGTGGTAAGTTTAGCCAAAACATTCTAGAGTTTTTGATTGATTCATGGTCCATTCATGGTCTATCAATCTTATTATTTCAAAGAACCAACTCTAACTGATTAATCCTTATATTGTTCAGTGTCAATTTCATTGATGTCCACTCTGATCTTCATAATTTGTTTCCTTTCATTAATTCTTGGTTTGATTTGCTCTTGTTCTAGGATCTTGACATGTGTCATTAGACTGTTTTATTTGGTATTACTCTGTTTTTCTAATGTAGCGAGTAAGAGCTATAACATGGGAGTTCCCTCTTAGCACTGGCTTTATTGTGTCATGC